AATTACGACTGGATTGATAGGAAAGAATCTCTAGTGTAAAACTGTTATTTCTGTTCGTTTTTCCTCCCTTTACTCTCATGGACCAACGAAGCAGAGGGAAATAGGTAGATGTAAGAAGACCGGTGTTGGCAGAGAACAAATCAGTCGGTCGTTGGGCGTTTGTGCCGTTAGACTCAACAGGGCGTTACCATTTCTTCGTAATGTGCGTGTCACCAACACACTGAGGAACAACAACCACGTGGAGCTATCACCTGACCGCTCACCCACAAGACCTGCCCGTCGCGCGTATGCATAGCAGCTCATGCTGGTGTGTCTGTTCCATCGTCGGGCATTAATGGTGGGACCCACGGGTACAGCAGCGCGAAGACAGACTGCCGCTGAACTGCAGTATCCGAAAGTGAATAAGGAAACGGACTGCATGGCACAATTAACACTGAACTCACACGCTAAGAGCCACAGAGTCGTGCTATGCCTGTTCATTATCTTACTCCACGAGGACCCGTTCCTGTGCAAATATGCAGAAGTTCGCCCTGTTGCTCATCCCATTTCTATACAGACACCCTATAACTGGGCGGCAGATCGCAGGAAAGTTTTTTCACAAGAGGAAGAAGGCTCCATCGGGTTTACCTACCCAGCCAAAAACATATCAAAAAACTAAAAATTTTCATGTCGGATGAAAGAGGCTGAGTATTGTTAGAAATCCAACATCTTACAAGACTATAACATATTGAGATTCCAACCAATTTATTATTTCAACTCATAAACCGGTGATTTTTGAGCTTTAGTCCCAGCGGGCTCAGCGCAGTAGACCAATTAAATAACATAACGATAACACAAATAAAATATAGTCTGTTATACAAACCATAAACTGTCAGGACCAGCAGTCCAAGACAATATTAACAACAAGGTCAGCAGCCCTCCTCGTCTTTTCAGATCCTGCTCGCCTCCCGTTGTTTGACGTAACAAATGACACGTTGTGTTTGTGTTTGTGCTGCAGGAGGTGCTGGACCTGGCATTCAGCATCACTTATGACGTAGAAGAGTACAGCCTGAACTTCATCGCCCCCTCTAGAACTGATGTGAGTCTTTCTCCCCAAAATTTCCAGAACATTTTCTTCTTTATCCGTTTCTTTTTTTTTTACTGTGTGCAATGTACAGTAAGAGTATAAACAGTATACTGAGTGGCTTTCCTCTGTCTCTGTCAGTTCTGCCTGTGGACAGATGGACTTAGTGTTCTCCTGGGCCGGGACATGAGTAGCGAATCCATGCGCAGCGAGCTGGAGATCCTCCTCTCTATGGAGATTAAGCTCCGCCTCCTGGACCTCGAGAACGTTCCCATCCCAGAAAGCGCGCCGGTCGTCCCCAAACCACCGAGTAACTACAACTTCTGCTACGACTTCAGCCAGACGGAGCAGTAGAGTGTGTGTGTGAATGTGTAAATATATGTGTGTGTGTATGTATATGTGTGGTGAGAGCTGACCTGTGCATCCATGCACTTATTCCTATAACACAGATTTATAACCTCAATGTTAGGGTTTTCTTATGTGGTCTTCTACATCCAAGTGAAACAATGAACAGGAGAACGCCTGCAGAAAGTGACTTTGTCTTTAAACTACAGTAGTGATTGTGATTGCGGCTATCGACCGTGCTAATGCTACTCGTTATCACTGCTCAACTTTCAGTCCCGACTCTCCATTCACGATTCCTCCTCAGCTGTCTGGAAGCTTCGACGCAGCTTCAGAAACTCTTGGAAAACTGAGATTCTCCTTATACAACACAGCCACTCAAGTTAATGGTACTTTAATGTTGTTTTGTAATCATTTTATATATTTCTAAATATATCTAAAACTATGTATGACACGTGGAATATTCCTGTATTGTTGGTTAAGATGCTTTTATGTTTGTCTCAAAATGCTGGCCGGTTGCTTTTTTTTCTCTTTTAAATGGGCATTAAGTAAAACACAGAGCTTTCTCAAGATGTGGTACACAATATGTTTTTCAGTGTTGGACAATATTTTGCATTAATATACCTACAGGTACTCTTTGTTCGGATCCTAACGGCTCAGTAAGATTACTGTGGAGCAGAGATGCTCTGTATTTTTACAGCGATGCAGATGTGCATCAGGTACCAAGCTGACTTCATTATATGCAGTTGTATCTTTTCGTAACAACTTTTATATCCAACCAGCAATCATCCTAGTGAATCTGTACGATACAGAATGCAATCAGTGATCTTTTTCTTGTATCAAATTAATTCTAAAACTGATCAATTTTGTACAAGGTACTTTATAATACTATGATGGAGGCGTCAATCATAGTGTGCTATACTCGAAGCAGCTACTGAAGAACTGACACAGGTCTACAGTATATCACACATTGTGGGTGTTTTCTGCTTTTTTTTTTTTGGATTATTATTTCAGTCCTCTGCAGTGCATCCCTGACACACAACCCTCTGTGATAACATTCACTTTGAATCATGTGCTTTGGGTGACTTCACATGAATAAACAGTTAAAAAACAAACAAAGCATGTCTGTACTTTTGGTTTTATTTATAAAATCGACATCTTTTTATCCTTGTTTTTTTATCTTTACAGTCTCCCTCCGTCACAGTGACTCATACAGTATTAGAACAGTACAATTATTCAACCATGGTTATGCAGTGTAAAGGGATATTTCTTCAATTAGGCTACAGTGGTTGGCCAACAGATGGTCCTTCAGATGAATTCAAGTTAGTTTGCTTGTGTTTTTGTATCCAGTAATAACAGCAAATGTTCAGAGATTTCCAATGAAAAACTGTTGTGATGTTATGATTTCCTCTCCTGATAACGCCGGCAGTTTTCAGACAACCCTTAAATAATTAAAACTAAGTACCGTGAATGCAGCACATGCAGGGACGCTGCTGACTTCCATCAGCAAAAATAAAAGGCAAATCTCCATCTTCTGAAAGACACTGTGCAAAATAAATCACCGTAGCTGTATCTTTATCTGATTAGTATTTGAGGACCACTATTTCACTTCACATCCTGTCTTTACTTCTACTGTATCAACCAATGGTATCAACACAGAAATGATTGTTAAATAAAAACATATTTCCTGTTATGTCGATATGAGATATTAAAAAAAAAAAAATCAAGCGAGAGCATTTAAAAGGAAGTTTTAGAGCCCAAAACAAAGGAGAAAATTGGAATATCATTTATGTCATTAGTTGTGGACTAAATGTAAGAATTATTCCACAGTGCATCTTTCAAGTTGAGTCCCATTAGTTCCTAATGATTCAGTATATAAATTACACTACTATATATATTATTAAGAATAAAAAAAAAACCTATGTTATGTAAATTAAAGCTGCACAATATGGTAAAAATAAAGAAGATGATATTGCATTTTGTCATATTGTGATATATTAAAAACATTTTCTGAGATGCTGTTTTTACTGGTTAGGGTGACATCTAGCTCCACATTCTTATTACAAGTATTCAGGATTTCCACTAATTTTAACATAAATGGACAAAGCACTTTGAAATGCCTGACTTTAAAATCAAACCCATACCCTCAGTGATGAGTGTGTTTTCACTTTTCAACATTCCCTTCAGTTCTTGTGCAAAAAAGTTGAACTCACGGAGCAGGCTTTGGTCAGCAGGTTAAGTTATAGGAAGTGCGGATCAGTTAGTTTGTAGTGGACGTTTTCCAAGATGGGCAGCTGTGATTGGAGGAGGTGCACAGTTGTTGCCGAGATGTTTTTGCACCTTGAGATGTCGAGTGTTCGCAGACGGCGACAGTGCTGCACCAGGCAGAGCAAGGATCTGGGGAGGAGGGGTTCAGAGGGTCAAGAGATTAGGAATCTGAGAGCTACAGATGTGGTAGATGGGGGGGGTTGGTTGTGTGCCACTCACCTGTCAGTGATATTACAACTGGAGAGGTTGAGATGCTGCAGTCTGTGCAGATACGGCACAGCCTGTTCCACTCCGCGGTCAGTGACACCCGGGCAGTGGCTGACGGACAGGCTGGTGAGGCTGCGGCAGTGCCTGGCTACCGATGCCAAGCTGGCGTCGGTGATCTCCGGCAGCATGGAGAGAGACAGTTGGCGGAGGTCTGGGTAACGCACCACCTGAGACGAGAGGAGAAACAGCATTGGCTCCTGACTTCAGCTTTCGAAACATTCTGCATTCCTGCTGCAAACATTTGCCTCTCCTCATCCCCCCTCCCCCCACCTGTGTGATGCTGCTGTCAGTGAGTTTGAGGCAGGCAGAGAGGTCCAGCTCCTGCAGCCTGTTGAGGGCTAAAAGTGAAACTTCAGCCTGCTGTTTGAACTGCTCCAGGTCATTCTGTGTCACCACCTTGGGTCGCTCTTCGAACGGCAGACAAGGAGGCTTGAAAAAGCCCATGTTGCCAAAGGTCCGGGTGAAGCTGAGACCCTTGTCCCCCTGATGAGATAAGTACATAAATACAACAGTTACTGTAACTTCTAGAGTATAAGGAAAGCTATTCCCTATTTTTCTGACACCTTTCACTTGTCTGTGGCTCTCACCGTCTGCTGGTCACGGTCACATGTGGTCGTTTCCTCCATCCCCAGCAGCCCCCAGTCTGTGACTTCTTTACACCAGCCGAGCCGCAGAACTACCAGCCTCCGCAGGAAGGTGGCTATAGAGCGCACAGACAGGTCAGTCACATCAATACATGACGTCAAGTCTAGCTCACGGAGAGTGTCCCCAAGAAGCTGGGTGAGAGAGAAAACTGCGAGATCCTGAAGAGAGAAGAGGAAGTTGTTAGAGGATGTGTTTTTCCACAAAGACACATTTAACACACACACACACACACACACACACACACACACACACACTGTACAAACACACTCACTGACCCTAATGTAGGTGCAGCTCTTGAGTATGAGTGTCTCCAGCTGTGGTCTGGTGCTGGATCCCGTCAAGCCTTTCACTATCTCTGTCCCGCTGATGTGCAGACACACAGACAGATCCAGACTCTTCAGGGACGACACAGACAGAAGTTCAGCGAGGCCTGTGGACGACACCCGGTTAGTTAATGTGCACGGAGGGTGTGATATTTTTTTGTCACTTTGCAGGCAATAAAATTTGAACAATAAAACCAAAACAAAGAGTTAAAGACACTAAAATGGTCTGTAAAGCTGTACTGTCCTGTACTGCAGAGCTACATAATAATTCTCTGTGGATTTGTCACTACGAGCAACCCCTTATACATCGCACTACTACATTACTACTATGTTAATATTCAATTATAATCAGTAGTCATGATCATGAAGAAGACAACTCACTAAGTACTGTCAAGATGGTCCTATAAGAGCAGCTTTTGATTCAACTGAAAGTGCTGGGTGCGGTGTAATGAACACTGTGGCGTCTAATGGCTACTAAGCAAGGCGTTAGACTTATATTCATACTGGCACTCTATGATACACACAAAAACAAAGTGACATTAATGGCACCTGATTCAGTGATCCTCCAGTCGCGGGACAAGCAGAGGTGTGTCAGTGTCAGGCCCCGTGCTATGGCCAGTACAGACCTGTTGGTCAGCGAAGTGCAGGCACTCATGTCCAGTCTCTGGATGCTTGGCTGGTGCTTCACCAGAATCTCCACTGAGTAGTCGGTCAGCTCCTTACAGTCATGCAGAAACAGTTCTTCTAGGACCAAATCCTTAACCTGGAACAGAAAGAACATCAACATATAAAACCCTTCTGTCTTCTGTGAGGACAAGCAATTTAAACTCTTTATTTTCAACAAAATTAAAGGACTTGCTAATATCATGAAAATATTCTAAATTCTAAATGAAATCTTAACCAGTATAAAAGTAGACTAGCAATAAAGAAGCTGTTGCAGGGACCTGTTGAAGGTATCCTGACCTGTGCAATGGTGCGTAGAGACTCAGGGGTGATGGAGGTTCTGCTGAGGTCCAGAGCTACAAGGGTAGATTTCTGCTCTGTTAAGAACCTCCGCAAGTTCCTCAGCGACAGCATTGCGGACGAATCCTCAACAGCTCCCACCGGGCACCCTCGATACGGGTCAAACTCAAAAGCAATATGGCAGCCGGCCAGCGAGATGCGGCGGAGGCGCGGGGTACAGCCGGTGAGCCGACTGAAGGTGAGGTCGGAGAGGTAGCGCAGGTCGGACAGTCCCAGCTCCTCCAGGCCAGACAGAGCTGACCTGACCTGGAAAAAAACGATGGGAGTTTGACCTGAAATTGGACTTTACATGTGGAAAAACAATAAAGCAAACACACAAGCTTACTGTGGGGAGAATTAGTATGATACTGATGCTGTAATACTGAGAGGAATTACCAATGGTCATTATTTGAAATCACTCCCAATGCCCTTTTCAACAAAGACTACAGATATAGAGATCGTCATCATGACTTAAGACGGAGCTATATAGGTGCATTTGCAGCGTCATAGTGGCTAAAATGCCTCTGGTTTTCTAACATCCACAGTGGACAGGACATGTTGACAGGATGATCAGGTTTTAGCTCGTCATCCCACTATTACATAACAGATATTTTTCACATGAAATAGTCGGGTAAACACAGGTGTTACCACTGATACTAATTAAGCTTCTGTTGCATTCAGGTCAAACAGAGTCAGGGTGCTGCTTTTGTGCATGCTGGCTGACTGGAAAGGCTCCACTATTCCATGTCAGGAGGTAATACAGCAGTAAATACCTGCTGCCTGTGCTCCTCCCTGGAGAGGAAAGCCCCGGACATGAAGAGGCTGTCCAGGCCCCCGAGGTCCAGCCTGCGGAGGGAGGTGAGGTGAGGGAGGAGGGCCAGCAGAGAGGCCTCTGTTATGCTGCTACCAGGCAGGGCCAAGCTCTCCAAATTAGGACCCAAGCACAGTCCTACCTGAAGGGGGAGAAAGACAGAGAGAGAGATAGCAGAGATGATCGCATGTGAGGGGAGACCGGCAGAAAGAAGGAAATTATGGTTGCTTAATTTACTTCATGCTCTCTCTATTCCATAAAAAATGGCATGTGGACACAAATAGTAATATATTTAATAATCAAACTCTAACACTGACATGTTAAGTCAATATAAACACAGAGTCAACTTATCTCTCTCCTTATCTTTATAGGCAACACACCTGTACAACCACAACTTGGTAGTACATCAAATCTTTAATTCAGTGCTTGCATGTAGGGGCCGATAATCAGAGCCGATATTCAGCATTTTTCAGATTATTGGCGTCATTATTTTTTGCAAATAAATACATTTAAAAATGTGCTACTTTGGCTCTGATGCAGCCACCTCTCTCCGTCTGTAGTCTCCCTCAATGTCCCGCCCACCCACAGCATATGATTGGACATCACGGGTCATAGCCTATCAGCAGTGAAGGCTGCTGTGCCGCAGACAAGAAAATGGAAACACTCAAGTAAAGTACCTCAAAATTGTACTTAAATACTTGAGTAAATGTGCTGCAAATGTACAATGATAATCAGTTTCTTTGATTACTAATAATCGGCCTCTGTATCAGCCAATCCCTGCCTGCATGTCCACACACACATACACACACAATAATGTGATAAGGGTAAATGAGGGTGAACTTTGGACTATGACGTGTCATAATGTCCCACATCCTGGTCCGCGTGACGGGAAATTAAAATGATAAGAGTGATACCATGTAAATACAACATATAAAAGGTCTTATTTCTGTTCTCTTGTTCCTGGTTTGCACTACAATGTTAGCCTTTCAGAGGAGAGACATCTCATCTTGCCTGGTGGCAGTTTGTCTCTGGGTGGAATAAAATCCATTAAACTTGGGTTTGCTCGACAGGTTCTACATAAGCCCCTGAAGGTTGGAGAATTCTCTGAAGCCCACAATGAAGCGTTTAATCATTTGAAATGAAAACACAACACTAATCAAAATAAGAATAACTAGGTCTTCACATAACAGCAGCAATATAATATGGCAAAAACAAGGGTTTTAACACAGTAAAGGCATATTTAAATACTGATATCAGAAATACTCCTTGTTTGGCCTCGATATCTATCACAATAAAAGCTGTTTCTTCACAGCTTTCATCTCGAGCTATAGAAAGACCTGAGGACCTATCCACATTCATCCTAATCTCCACGTAGTGAAGGGTTATTAATTGTAATAGTGTACTGCACCTCCTGAAGCAGCGTTCTGGACATACTCAACCCATCGAGCTGTGTGATGATCAGACTGCAGCGTGACCTTCTGCCCAGACCCCGGATCAGCTCCAGGGCCGAGGCTGAGGCCGGGAAGCAGAAGGTGTTGTTCTTCTAAAACAAAGAGAAGCACACAGAGAAGGGAACACAGACTTAACTCTGCCCTGGAGCTTGGACAGTCAGGTTGTAGACACACAATGTTGACTGATTTCAGTCAGTCAACATTGTGTGTCTACAACCTCTGAAGAATTCATAACATAAAAGTGTGTCTCTGCTCTGGAGGAAATTACCTGAAAGCGCGCGTCCTGACTGGCGCTGTACCATCTGCGGCTGACCAGCGAGGCTTCCTTCCTGTCTGAAGCATCAAGAAAGCTCAGGATGTAAACTATGATCTATGGCGAGAGACAGAAACACAGCATTATGTAACATCGATGTTTACTGATGCTGGAAGGAAAAATCCACCCCCAGGGTTACCTAACAGCTTTTTATGAACTTTATGAACGGCTTTGAGGAAACATAACGAACTCTGAGCCGACGAAGCTGAATTTCCGGTTCCACAACAGCTGATCAGAGTCGGTCCGATCAGTTCTGAGTATGTTCACTCTGAGTTAAGCTTGTGCAAAAGCCATTATCAATGGAGCTCTAAAACTACGATTCTGTCTTTCATACTGATTTTTAGAATTTAAACTGAGATTATGTGGGAGCAATAAACATTTTAGTGACAAACTGTCAGCAGAGTCACAGTGTTATTAAAAAAATAAAAAGACATGCAGAGTTTTTATTCTGACTTGATGCTGTGTAATATTTAAACTTGAGGATATAAATGCTGTAACTGCAGATAGTCCTGAGTATAAACTGATATCCAACCAGGAATATATATATATATATATAGGAGGGGAATAAAAACAAACTGTAGCACTCAGAAACGTCACATAATTACAATAAAATAAGGAGAAATAAGGAATACTTGACCCAAAATGTGTCATTATGTAGTTGTCTCAATGTCTGTGGGCTCATATTTTTATGGCAAAATCTGTTCCTCTTCTTTATAATATTAATTTCATAATGATGCTCACTAAATGATGCCAATTTGCAGCCTTTTGATATTGCACTTTGCTATATTGCGATTAATTGTGCAGCCCTAATTTCTACTGGAAATAATGTGGTTCTTTTAGGTCCTATTGGAAATCAGTTTTTTTCCTATTGGTGCCAATAAAATCCCTGTTTTTATTATTTAAAGGACTCTTTTCCCCTTTATAAGAAAAATAATGCTTTGGTTCTTGTAGGATTTTCCCAGTCCTATTGGACTTTATTCTATAAGTTGTGACTGGTACCAGAATCAATTACAATTTCTTAATAGGAAATTTATTTTGAAATCTTAAAGGACTCCCTCCACTCCCACTTTGAGTACAGCATGCTGTTAATTCATTGATCCACTGAGCTTAATCTTCCTCCAACCAAATGCATGAAACTCACCTCCAGAGGCAGCTCAGGTGTTTCAACAACATCGTCCTCCACATCGCAGTTTTCCATCTCGGGCTTTTATTCTGAAGGACTCCGGACCATCGCCAATGAGCCACTCTAGCTCAGCTCAGCTCAGCTCAGCTAGCCTGCACAGTCTTAAAAAAAAGCCGCAAGAAAGCCGCCATCAGTCTCATCCATCAACTAATCGATAACTGATACAGTGCATATGGTAATGGCGGAGCGATGAGAGTCAATGAGTCGCTATAACGCTGCTTCCTCCCGCTGTCATCTCACTAAGCTACTTTATCCACAAGGCTGAACAACTGACAGGAACAACACTGACGTCAGGGAGCGGGGCATTGTGGGAAATGTGGTTTTTCTACCGTTATTTTTCACATACAGTTTTTACCCTTTACCTGAAACACCCACAACAAAGAGCCAGTGACGTGCACGGGGGGCAGTCGGTCGCCCCCCCCCTCCTGGCCCAATTGTTGAAAAACGTGTGGTAAAGTGCCCTCTTTGGAGCCAAAACGTGTGGTAAAGTGCCCTCTTTGGAGCCAAAAC